ATTTAATTTAAGAAGAAATATACTTGAAAGTGATACAACAATAAAAACCACACAAAAGTCTGAGACACCAACAACAATGTCTATATCACCACCCTACCGTAAAGTAAGAGCATTAAGATTGTTCGATACTCCTGCTACACCTAAAACAATTTTGGAAAAATCATCTGGTAAATGTTTAAATCATCTCTCAGCGGTGGCTGCAGCAGATGTGACAAAAAGACAAGAATCCTTATTCCTAAAGACAGTAGAAAGGCCGCGTTCTCTGCCTTTGCATAACAGAACTTTGGATCATGTCATGCAACAGCAAACGGCTAATGTGAATCCCTTTACACCAGATAGTAAGTATTTGTTATGAATATAAACTGGAATAGTTTAAACAGGTTTCTTCCTTTTCATATTCTTATTAAAGGTTTAATGGCTCACAATAAGAAACGTTGTCGTACACAATTTGGACGGGAGAATCTAAGTAATAGATCATTGCAATTGTTTCTCAACAGTGACGAGGACTTAGTCAACGATTGTGAACAAGCGCCAGAAATGCATCAAGCACCAAAGCGTTTAGCTTTGCAGGATACAAACATTAGTCGCTATAAAAAGGAATTTGTTGAGTTATCAGTGATTGGCATTGGAGAATTTGGTATGGTGTATCAATGTCTCAACCGCCTAGATGGTTGTATTTATGCCATTAAAAAGAGCATTAAACCAGTAGCAGGTAGTTCTTTTGAGTAAGTATTTCAAAGACAATCAATTAAAATTTTTTGAATATTCTAATTTTTATTTATAAATCAATGATGTTTTTACAATTCCAGAAAACAAGCTCTTAATGAGGTTTGGGCACATGCAGTATTGGGTAAACACGATAATGTTGTGCGTTATTATTCCGCCTGGGCGGAAGATAATCATATGCTTATACAAAATGAATATTGTAATGGCGGCAGCCTACAGTCTCTCCTACAAAAGCGATCTCTGGTGGAATCAGAATTAAGAATCTTATTGTTACATGTTGCCGAAGGCTTACGTTATATACACTCCAACGATTTGGTACATATGGATCTGAAATCGGGCAATATATTTCTAACAAAAGTACCATCAGTACATAAAACATCAATGCCCCCATTGACCAAAGAGTGCTACGAAACAGGCATGGATGGCATCTATGAAGAACTAAGCAATTCCGAATGGTTGATAACTTACAAAATTGGTGATCTGGGACATGTGACGTCGGTCAATGAACCGTGTGTGGAGGAGGGAGATTGCCGCTATTTACCTAAGGAAATCTTAGATGATGACTTTTCAGATCTGTTTAAGGCTGATATATTTTCATTGGGTCTAACGTTATATGAAGCGGCTGGTGGAGGACCGCTACCAAAAAATGGACCCGAATGGCATGACCTAAGAGATGGCAAAGTACCAGATATACCAACATTAAGTCGAGAATTTAATGATCTAATTAAAGTGATGACTCATCCAGATCCTCAGAAGAGACCATCATCTACATCGATTTTTAATCATTCGTAAGTATTTAAGAGATTTTCTCTCGAAGTTTTCTTAAGTTATAAATATTTTATTCAAAAAAACTACATGTAATATATATTTATATTTTTTTCATTTTAGCGTTTTAAATTCATTGGAATCAAAGAGCAAAGCTCAGTTAAGCCAAGAATTAACTATAGAAAAACGTAAAAATGAAATATTATTACGAAAACTAAGGGAAGCGCGGAAAACCATTAAAGCTTATGAACATAATGCAAAAGGTAAATAAAAAAAATATCTGTCTCCTATAATATTTAACTCTATTTATTATAGGCAATCATTCCAGTTTTAATAGTCCTCAAGTGATGGCTGATCAGCGTTGCCTTCGTTCATGTACACGCAAAAAGCGTACGCCCTGTCTGAATTCCAAGATGGAAAGTCTTCGTGATCGCAACAAAAATGTTATTAATAATCTAAAATATTAATTTGTTATTTCATTATAATTATGTGTGTGTTTTCTTTTTTATTTTATTATTATTATTATTTTGCTTTATTAGTTTATATGTTTTAAATCATTTAATTTCATTAAATAATATAAATTGTGAAATTTGTCTAACAAACGTTATTCCAATCTCTCGCGCAGCAGTCCTTAATACAAGAACCGCTTTTATTATTATTTAAAATATAAGTGCCCCCTCTTTATGCACTTTGAATTTTTGTATTCGAAGTATTATTATGTTTTTTTTGTAACATTTCCTTTTTTTCGCTTTTTTTATTATCAAAATAAAATTTAATTTCAATGAAAAACATCCTGTAAATAAGAAAATATATAATATTTTTTAATAGTAATTAATACAGTATTTATATTTATTTCTTTATGCTACACTTTGTTTACTGTTAACACTTTTAATAATAAAAATGTTGCACTACTTTATTCGTAACGAATCATTTTTTGTCTTCTGTATTAATTTTCCTCTTGTCCCCCATCTCCTTATTTTGTATGTTATATTTGAATTAATTTTTTTGTGTTAAAATTAAATTTATTAATAATTATTTGTTAAGCTATTTTTTATATTATTAAAAATAAAAAAAAATTAACAATGATAAGGTGGTGTATTTTATTTGGTGACGACGGATGATAGATAAATTGCATTGACCAAATGTGTGGCCGTCATATACATTAAAACTATTGTCAAGTCCACGTTGAAAATGTGAAGTGGTTTCATTCTGAAAAAGTTGTAATTTTCCTTTTTTGAAGAAGAAAATTATAGAAGACAATTCCACTTTCGATCGGAATGAAATTCTGTGACAGGCCTGTATTTGGATGATAATTAGGATGTCGATGCATCAAGCACTCATATTGCTAGGTTATTACAAGTGTGTCCGGAGAAACCCCATAAAACAACCTATACTTTTATATAGCACCAAACTTAGTTGAATCAAAGGTATTATATGGTCTCCTCCAGATTTAAGTGATCTCCACATAACCTCACTCTGAGGTAAAATGAAAGCACGCGTTTAATGCAAACAACGCACAACTTGGAAACATTTATACGAAGTAATCCATTAAATTAGAGCGAGTGAGACGCAATTATTTCGAAAGCTTGGCAACAAAGACAACCCTGACCGTCCTTATAAAATAAGAGTTGTTCCCCAACTTACACCTGAATCACGACTGCTGTAAAAACTTAACAAACAATAAGTTATTTTAAATTTATCGCGTCCTTAACATTCAATACATTTTAATAATGCCTTAAGGTATGCTATGAAATGCAACATTATATTGGAATATTGTTAATACAAACTTGTTTTTATATACTTTGTTAAATATTGATTGAAGTTTGTAAATTTTGTATAAGTAGGTTTTTGAAATATTGTATGAAAAAATATTTAAAAATTTTTCATTCTGAAATAAATCTTTCAACATAGAAATACATTTCTACACATTATAATATGTCTGTTTCCATATTTGTCAGTTTTGCAGGTTTTAGTCAGAAATCAGAAAAACAACAAAATACATTGAAACGGACGGGAATGGCTTATTGTAAACCTTGCAACCTTGCAACAGACAAATTGACTGAATCTCATTAATTTATATTATTTCGTTTTAGGTTAGGTTAGGAAGGGTTATACACCGTAAAAACGGTGTATATCCACTCGGAGACCATAAGGTCCATTGTGATTCCCTTCAAGAAGTGAAGATTCAAAAACAGAGAAGCCAAAACACTACCATAACACAAGAAAAAAAATCCATGTCCCCCTATAAAGCCCAGTTAAAGAAGTGACTAATTCCCTTGACAAAACCTAGTAGACTGCGAGGGTTAAGTCCCGCAATTTCCTCCAGTTCGCCATGGAACCTATTCCCTAGCCATTTCAACCTGAGGTTCTGTATCCTAGGACACTGGCAAATAATATGCTCGATCGTCTCTACTTCCTCCTCATCCTCGCATAACCTGCAATAGTCCGGTACACTACTGTCCCACTTACTAACAAAGGTTCTAACTGAGCAGTGTCCAGTTAGAATCCCTATCAGAACCCTTAGACTGCGTCTGTCCAGTCTTATAAGTATTTTGGTAGCACCCATATCAAGTTTTGGCCACAGGGCCTTTGATATTTTGCAATCCAATCTACTATTCCAGGACTGGTTAATGATATCACGTATTCTTTCGAATATCAACCTATTATAGTGACAAATGGGTGGTTTAACCATCCTTTCCCTGTCATCTATATCAAGGTCCGAACCTAATCTAGCTAGTTCGTCCGCAACCTCATTACCATGCACATTACAGTGCCCTGGCACCCAACACAATCTAATGACAAACAGTCTCATAATGTCCCTAAGGGCATTTCTGCAATCTACAACTAGGTGCGAGTGTACCGTGTGACAATCCAATGCTCTAAGAGATTTCGTTTTAACATGAGCATGTTTTGCACAGACAGGCAGGATTGCTATATATGTATGTATGTAAATCGACTGATGTTCCCGGCGGAAGTGAAAATTTAGTTCACTCTAAGATACCATTTGTCCTGCTGTCAATATTTGGTGAGCTGAACCAAAGAATAAAAAGGTCTTTTTTGAGTTTTTCATAATTTTTTCATATTTTTCCAAAGAAAGATGTGAAATTTTAGTATCATAAGAAAGGTTTTCGAAAGACGCTTTCAATTACATATCAGATTTTTGTGTAGCAGCAAAAGCAATTAAAGTTTTATATTTTCTGGAAATTTTTAACATAACATAATTTAGTTATTACAAACGTATGTATATAATAATCCTCATCAAATTTTACCAAAGCGTTTTTTTCGTTTGTCAAAATTCAATCTAGATCGAATTTTATTTGAATTTAACGAAGTCTATGGACATATGTAATGAAAACATTGCAAAATAATGTAAGCAACATATGTAGGAAACTGCATCTGATGATTGCTAATGGAATAACACTTCAAAACGGAGACACCATTGACTTAAGACTACGGCAATGACACTAGTAAATAAAGTGTGGAAGGAATAGTAAAAAAAACGTTGTTAATGGATTTTACTCTTTATCATTTATTGATCAAAAATTATGCTTAATGGTACAAATCAAAATGACATTTTATTAGGAAGTGTATGGGTTGATTTAACTGTTTATTTCTATTAATTCTTAAGGTGATTTTATTTTTCTTAAATTTTCATACTTAAAAGAGGGACTTAATTTTAAAGAAAAATAAAAAAGTATATGAAATATAATTTATATTGTTATAATTACAATTTATTTGCTTTCGTTCAATCAATCAACATAGCATGTGTAAGGATGTGTAAAAACATGTATGTATATCATGGATGATGAATGTTGTATATGTTTTATAATATTTTGAAGTATATATTTGGAAATACAAATTCATTTAGTTTTTTATATATAATGTTTTATAATACAATACGATTCAAATCATGAATAGTTAAATATTGATTTTTGCTTACATGGAAGTGGTAAAAGTAGGAAGTTCGACTTTATATTTAGTCTTCTAAATTTTAAACTAAATTTCAAGAATAGATGACTAAATATGGCAGAAGTAAAATGATTCAAGTAAAAATTATAAGATTTGAAGATTATTATTTTTTGTTTGTTGGTTAATGACTTTAATGTATGACTTAGTTTTTGGCTGCTGCTATTCTAGTTGGTGTTTGCTTTAAATAAATAAAACTAATAAAAGCAGCTTTGTCCGAAAATACATAATTTAAAATATATAGTATATATAAATAAGGAATAAACTTATAAAAGAAAACTCATTAAAATAAAATAAAAAATGTTATTTTGCAAATTTAAAGTCTTTTCACTAAATACTGGCATAAAAGTTTCAACACTTCTATACAGTGTATTTCAAAAAATGTTTCTTTTCTTCTTGTTTTTGTTTTTTGTGTTTTTTTTTTTTTTCTAAAAAATGTTTAGTAGTGTAACATCTATATTCTAGGTTCTTTTATTCTTTAGCAGCTGTTTATGTTTAATATAATATGTATTATTTATAACCTTAAATAAGTAAAAATTTGAAAATCGAAAAATGTACTCTTTTTGGGATTTTATAAAATTTTTACTTTATATAAGCTGCTAATTGATTTTTGCTCAGTAATTGCTAATCTCTATGTGAGTTTGAGCGCGAACGAGAAATTGAAGAACCACCGCCTCCGCCATGTCTACGAGATTCTGTGCGACTACGTTTTGAATGAGTGCTTCGTTTCGGTGATGGTGAATCATCTTCGTAACGTCGCTTAGGCGATGGTGAATCTACAGCAGCGGCGCCAGCTCCTCCGTTACGTTCATCATCACTGTATCGATAAGAATCACCATTTTCACCACGTCCATTTTCTCTAGTACGACCGTAAGTTTCTCTAGCTTTGCGTGATGTTTCTCTAGTTGCAGACACAGAACGACTATGGGATCTTGATGCTGATCGTGAGTGAGACCTGTTGCGACCTCGCGATGCACTACGTGAACGACTGCGTGTATGACTGTAAGTTAAAAGAGATAGAAAAAAAAAGGAAAAATTACTATAATTTTTAAGAATTTATTCAGTTTAGTTTTTCTTAAAACTTTAATAAAAGTTATTACTTAAACCTTGTAAAAGCTAAATTTTATTGTAAACGTAAAAATAAAAACTAATGTTTTCACGAATATTTGATAAGTTAAAATTTATCGAATTAGCTTTCGTATGGAATACACATTTCGATTTCGAAATTCTAGTTAAAATATACTATATATCTTGTTAGATATCAGAATGCCATAATTATTAAAAATTATGATAGTCTTTACTTGATAATAAACGGTTTTTATGTCCCTTGATTTCATATTTCAAATCATATAATCTGTTTAAAAGTTATTTTTAATTACCACTATTCTGCATTTCAATTCGAATCGATATTTTCTCCGTTTGGCATCTTTAGTATTCTGCATATCGATTCGAAGCTCCGTCACTAAAATAACAACTTAGAAAAACGTAGTTACGATCGTAATGCAGAATACATACAATCGTAAAGCATTGAAATAAAATGGTATTGCTTCTTCTTTTTCTTACGATTCCGTTTTTTGTTGGAATACCATTTTTCGATCGCAGCGTAACTGAATGCAGAAACGTAATCGAAATGCAGAATAGGAGTGAATATTTCGCGAACTATGTATGTATGTATGAATTTGTTTCAATTTGCTCTTCAATATTTTTACTGCTGGTTCTTTAACTTAAGCAGCTGTTTGGATCATTGCTAGATCGCCTTGTACAAATATTCCTTAGGGCACCTTAAATTTTTTCGGGATGTAAGTGTCATAAGGAGTTGAGTCTTGTTCCCAGAGTTTAACAATCATTAAGACTATCGGTCGTTTCAAATCTATTATAATCTATGAAAAAGGAGATAATATTCAGTGTCCAAAATTAATGGATAAAGTTAAAGAAATTTAGCAGTCTATCTTCCATAGATTAACAACAATGGTATGAGATTATTTGTGCACTTGCGTTCCCTTTTCTTACTTTTTTAACCTTTTTTGCATACAAATGTTGGCGGCTTATTAAAAACACAAACAATTTTAAATATTTGTTTTTAACGAAAAACAATTCTGTGGCAGAAATGAAAAAGTACATATCTCAAGATATGCAAAAATCATGTTTTCGCATTTTTGAAATCTCCATACTCAACTCTATATTGTGTCAATTTTTCATAGATATCGGTTCAGAACTTTTGAAAACATCAAAATTTTTAAATGTATTTTACTAAGTTTTGTACTGGATTTTAATTAAAAAAAAAAAACGTTCTCCTGAAAAATACAAAAAAACAACTTCTACTTTTGCCTTTTTACCACAGAATTAACGAATTTAATTAATTTTCATTACAATCTTTACGTTTTATACGTCGTTTTCTCAATATCCTGTAAATAATAAATTATTATCGAGTGGCGAAAATATTCACCCCTATTCTGCATTTCGATTACGTTTACGCATTTAGTTACGCAACGATCGAAAAAAGATATTTCAAAAAAAAAAACTGAATCATATGAAAAAGAAGAAGCAATTCCATTTCAATGCTTTACGAATGTGTGTATTTGTGGCGGAGAGTCGAATCGAAATGCAGAATACTGATTGAAAAGTTGACCGAGTGTCATTTTATAGTTATATGTAGGTGATTTTACATTAAATCAAAAACAATTTGAACAAAACTCGGAACAAATTTAGGCGGACTTTAACCGATGAGTTTTCAGTCAAAAACATAAACAATGCTCAGCTGTTTTTTTTCGCAAATATTTCTTTTGTAAAATGTACATTTTTAGAAAAAAAAAAAATAAAAAACATTTAAAACAATAATAATATTGATAAAACAAATCAAAAATTACTATTTACTTAAAATAAATAAGTTTTTCTTCTTCCGAATTGATCATTTTATTGTTTTTGTTGATTATGTTTTCTCACTTATAACGTAGGCTTCATTGGCCAATAAAACTCAGTTAAAATAAGATAACAAGTAACTTAACTGATTATTGCAAAACACAAAATATGGATTAAACTAGGTTTAAACAAAGAATGTAGATTATATTTATTAGAAAAAACCGCCCTTAGTGATAGTCATCCATTGCCTCAAGGGTTTTGCAGTCCTCATAGCAGTCGAAATGTCAATTAATACTGCACATGTATGTTAAAAACTTATTGTATTCCGAAAGAAGTCTGTTCATAGTTTGTAAATTTCAACATTAATGCACCTTCAAAAACCCTCTTGAATGGCTTTTCAAAGACATCCCCTTAAATTACATCATAAAAATCATATGGTTACATTTTTATATTTTCTTTTTTTCAACTTGTGTGGTTTTTTTACAATTGTATGTATATTTATAAAAATAATACATTAACTTAATGTATAATAGGATTAATAAAAAAAAAAGACTCAATAACTTAAAGCTACGGGAAGTTGTATATTAAAATAAAAACACTAATGGCTAACAGTGGTTTAAAGTTAAATTAGTGAAACTCTAATTCTATTTAATCTGAATCAACAGTTTCTTCTTTAACTTTTTTTGATTTTTTCTTAGCGGGCGTTTCTTCTGTGGGTGCTTCTGGGGCTTCTTGGTCCTTATTTTTATTCTTCTTCTTCTTCTTTTTCTTTTCGGAAGTAGTGGGTGTTTCTTCTACCTGTTCTTGTACCTCTTCAACCTTTTCCTTCTTAACTGGGGTGGAAACGTCAGCCGCCGATTCAGAGTGTTTTCGTTTCTTCACAGATAGAGTACTGTCAGCCTCAGGTTGATAAGTAAATACCTCGCTGTTGATCAAGACAACAAAAATATGTTAATATTTGAAATCAATTCTCAAAAATATCTAAAAATCAAGTAAGATTTATTTATTGTTTTCTTTTCTTCAGACAGCCAAGGTTTATCATCATTGCTATTTTTATCTTCAGACAAATGCGAAACCTTTGTGGTATCATCATTTTGAAAAGTAACAATACAATAAATCAACTTAATTCTTTCGAATACTAACCTTTTAGCTTGATATTTCTCAAATTTAGCTTTAGCTTTGCCAGTTCCCGAAAGTTTGCGTAGGTTTCCTTCTTCGAGTAATCGCAGTCTAGATTCCAATTTGACTTTATGGGCAGCACCCAATTCGAAGGTGGCTTCTTCACCAAAAGCGTCAACACGTGTCGCCAGCGATGCTTTAGCAGCAAGAGAACGTGACATTTTTCCTTTGTTCTTTAAACTGGCTTGACCGACTAGCTGAGCGTTGAAGATTAAACCATACTTAGGTGTGTCTTTCTTAGTCTTAAGAGCACGGAACAAAGCCTTTTCAGCACCGAGAATTTGTACAGTCGATGAGGGGTGTTTGGCGAGATTTATTAAAGAACCAGCATGAGCAATTAAGCGGGCTCCTACAGTTTCACCAACCAAAACTGTTAGATTTGGTGCCATAGCCATCATACGTGTCTTGAGGTAGTCATACAAATGTGTTCGGTAGTCATTAATGGATAAAATTTCATCACACAAACATTGAATATTCATAATATCTTCTTCGGAAATTTCAGTACCCATAGAAATTTCAGCAGCTTCTTTGACTTTCTCCTCTACATCTTCGGGTAAAATGTCAGACAAATCGGCGGCCGCCATGTTATCTCTGGTACCCACGAGTTTAATAGTTTTTGCGAAGGCTATATTATCTGTTATAATCTTACCCAACTCGGGAAAATGCCATCCGTACCATTCACGTGCTCTCATCATGTAGTTGTTTAATTCCTTATCCAAATCATCCAACAAACATTGTGCCTGCACAATCATAGTATCAATTTTATCAGGTGAAAATTTCAACTTATAGCGTGACAGTGAATGAGCCAAACCTAGGGCCATAGCGGTCATTTCCTTTTTAGGTAATCCACCCAAAAGACTATCGGCTTGTTGTCTAATACATCTCATCAGTTCTTGGACTCCAGTATTGTAGACACATTGCACAGACAACTTATCTTTGATGGCATTACCTAACTTGGCATCGGCGACCAACAATGATTCCTGTACTTCATCGCCGAGCAACTTCTTCAAAGTCTTCTTCAATGGTTTTGAGACTTTGCCCTCCACGGCTGCAGTGGCAGCGGCCAAAGCTTCTGTAGTGTCGTTGAATTTTTCAAAATGCTTCAGTTTTAACAATTTGTTGGCTTTTTCGGGCGTTTGGAATTCCAAATATAGGTTATCTACTTCTTGCATTTTCTTCTCATCCATTAATTTGAAAATTGCGTAGCCCGCCGGCGTTTCATAAAGCACAAACATTTTTGTGTTTTTCTTTTAATTAATTACACTTTTAATAAATTTTATTTATTTTTTTTAATTCAACACTTTTAAAAATTAACTTTTTTTATTCCAACATGCAGTCGTGGAAAAATATAAGTCCACGCGCTTTCGTTGAAAATCCAAAATGAAGGCAGATATAGAGAAAACACGTGTGTAGATGAATTTTTACTAAGCTCACTAGCGCCCCCTGGTTGTCATTTCTGTTAATGTGACAGTAGCACAAGCATTTGCTTGTGAAAATGTCAGGCACTCGATGTTACCATACTTAATACCATTTAAACGTTAAAATAATTATTAATTTAAATTTTACATTCATATATGATTTTACACTCGCAAAAAGATTTATTTCGTTCATATATTACGGACATTTTATATACATAATTTTAATAACATGTTTACGTTTAACGGTTAATTTAAATTTTTTATTATATATTTTTCATATGTTTCATTTAAATCAGTTGAAAACATAATAATATTTCACTATGGTTTCAAGAGAATTTTCCAATATTACATAGCTTGAGTTTGACCTCACAGTTTATGGGTTAACATTATTGGATTTTACTAAAACTTCAGATGTATGTTTCCTATTATCTTGAAATATATTTTCTTTTAAAGTTTTATATAAAATGCATAACAGTAAAGAATAACGCCTGTTTTTCAAAAATTTTAAACAAAAATTGTTTACTCCGAAATCCTCAAAATTCAAATCCCAGGTACCGCTAATCTGTGAGAGATATCGTCCTAATTTCTTTATTGTCCATGAGTCACGCGGAGATTCTCTTTAAAATTAGCTTAACAAAATCGCTAAAAGTTTGAAACTGGATTTTTGAAACAGCCGTCTACGCTGTGTAATGAGGATAAAAACTCACATTAATACGAATATGTATATTAAACGTAATGACGTAGTTTTATTAGAATATTTCCCAAATTTTTATACCCTCCACCACCATCAGTGGTGATATAGGGTATATATAACTTTGTCATTCCGTGTGTAACACCAAGAAATATTCAGACCAACTAAGTATATACATACATATATTCTTGATCCTTATGAAATTCTGAGTCGATTTAGCTGTCTGTCTGTCTATCTGTCTGTGTAAATCACGCTCACGAAATTCGCCCAAAATATTCTTTATTATACGGTACAGTTTGGTATTGAATATCAGTAAAATGGGTTCACGACGTAAAAAGTTATGAGTAAAAATTTCAGACTACCTCGAAAAAAATAACGTTTTTTTCTAATTCTTAAGTAGTTTTCTCAGAAACTAACAAAGATATTTCGATGAATTTTGTCGCACGTTATTTTGTGGCAGGGATCAAGTATGTTCAAACTCATAACAATTGATCCAATATTTCCCATAGCCCCCATAAAAAGGGTGTATATTCCCGTAAATTAGTTTATCGTTAATAACTCCCTCAAATATATCGGTATCAGCACAAAATTTTGTACATACAAATATAATATGAATAGAAATCATACTACCAACGTAGATCTATGTGGGTCCACAACTGCTCATAGCTCCCATATAAAGTCCACTTCCAAAAATCACCTAAACGCATATATTTCATTGATAAATAAAGCTTTTGTGATAAAATTCGAGCTGAATATGTTTTGTGTACATACAAATCATTCTACCAAATTTCTTTACGGATCGGTCCATTATTAGTCATAGCTCCCATATAAGGCCCACTTCCGAAAATCACTTAAATGCACATATTTGATTGTCAAATAAAGGTATCTTGATAAAATTTAATACAAATATGTTTTGTCTATATATGAATCACTCTACGAAATTTTTTCGGATAGGACCATTATTGGTCATAGCTCCCATATAAGGTCAACTTCCGAAAATCACTTAAACTCATATGTTTCATTGATAAATAAAGCTATAACATTGATAAAAAAAACTTGAATATGTTTTGTATACATATAAATCATTCTACCAATTTTTCTCCGGATCGGTCCATTATTGGTCACAGCTGCCATATAAGGCCCTCTTCCGAAAATCATTTAAACTCACATATTTTTTGTCAAATAAAGCTATTTTGACACAAATATGTTTTGTGTACATACATATGAATTACTCTACGAAATTTTCCTGGAGAGGCCCGTAATTGATCATAGCTCCTATATAAAGTCAACTTTCGAAAAACACTTAAACTCACATATTTAATTAATTAATAAATCTATTGGAGTAATATTCGACTTAATTTTTTTTTCATATAAATCATTAACGAAATTTTTTCTTGATCGGTCCATAATTGGTCACAACTCCCATATAAGGATAATTCCTGAAAATTACTTAAACGCACATTGACAATCAAAAACATCGGTATAAAATTCGACATAAATGTGTATTTTGTATATATCAATCGTTATACGGAATTTTACTTCTGAAAATCACTTAATACCACTTAATTCATTATTAAATGATTATATCCAGATAATATTCGACATGAGTATGTTTATGTATAGATAAATCATTATAATAAAGTGTTTGCAACTGGACTATTAGTATAAAATTTTATGAACCTAATCAAAATTAGTTCCACATATGCATAAATGTTAGTACCCTTACTACGGAAACAAAAATGTTGTCAAGTTATCTACAAATTAGATAGTTAAATGGGTTTTAATAAAAAGTAGCTTGCTGGTGGAGGGTATTTAAGAATCGGCATAGCCGAATATAGCACTCTAACTTGTTTTTTTTATTTCTCATTTAAGCGATTTTTTAGAAATTTTTAATAATTTTTGACCGATTTTTGTGTTTTATATCTTATTGGAACGATAATCGATTATATATTCCAATGATTTACTATTAAAATCCACAAAGATAATTGTTTTATCTATCTGGTGGTGCCACCTGTTAACGAGGTCCTATCGCATTTAATTTTTCCAAAATACATTTCTATAACTTTACGTATAAGTCTTGAGGCAGAGACGACCACTCTTCGCAACTTCTATAAAATTAGAGAATTTTATATTTGGGACTCAAGTATACAGTCAGAAAGATTAAAATATAAAATTGTGAAAAATTGGTGGGTGAAACGTTTTTTTTCATATTCGGAATCAGCACACCAAATAACACTGGGATTAGTGAAAATTATTTAAAAAGTGTAATCCATACCTAATAAGGAGTGGGTTCGAAAAAATTGGTGCGTGTGTTTATTGTAATAAAATTAAAACTAAGAAGTGAATCATTTTAAATTTATTATCAACAAATATCTTTTTGTTGATTTTATACCAATTTTTAACGTAAAATTCAGTTTCGATTCTTTTCAGTTTTTTTTACACATTTAGTTGGTTTTACAACGAAATTTGAAAAATTTCTTCTATACATTTTGAATTGACCTTTTATTGTATTCCTAAATTTTTAACCAATGCCGAATAGCATAAAGTGGGACGAAATACGGTACAGTTTAAAATATAGAATATTGGGTATTTTAAAAGCGCACGTAGCTGATGATCCAGCTATTTGTTAGGACATGCGACTTTTTAAAATCTGTGAATATATTTTTCAGTCCACTTGTTAGTTTTTGAACAAAACTGCCGAGATATGAATCATCTGAATTTTGAAAAAATTGTCTAATTTTGTTTCAGCATTCCTACGGCGTAAAAAATCAAATTTTTAGATGACAAAGGTTCCTTTCAAATTATCCAATACAATAAAATATTTCGGGGAACGACCTTTGTACCACATTCATTTTCCTGGAGTGGATATATTAAAATTTTTACAAAATCTAAAAACTCATTTTCGTTAGCTTGTAAGAATGCTTCGTTATTTCGCACCACGAAATTGTGTCGTAATATATACGAAATTGTGCGAAATATTTTAGTATAATGCAAATAATTTTAGAAAAATTAAATTACATAAAATGTAAATCTATCTATATAAATAAATGAGTAATGTTTCTTCGTAATCGGTAAACTAATGAATTACGTCGCCTGAATGGACAATATTTCAAATATATGTCTCAGGAATCGTGAGAAGTGTTCCAGTGAAGTTTTAAATTTGTCCAATAGAATGATTTACAGATACACATATCGGATTTTGTTAAAATGCTTGGTATGTTAATGAAATATATGGGGTAAAGTGACTTAAGGAAATGGATCTTATATGAGAGCTTTGACCAATGATGGACTGATCCTAACATTTTTCAGAATGATTTATATATACAAAAAATACTCATGTCAAATTTTAAAGCCCATACAGAAAAAAATTTCGGAGTGATTTGAATATATCAAAAACTTATTTATAAGAAATTTTAGTCCGGGATCTTTATTAATCAATGAAATATGCGATTTTTGGAAAAGGATCTTATATGGGAGCTATGACCAATTATGGATCGATAAGGAAAACATTTCTTAGGGTAGTTTATATCTACTTTAAACACATTAATTACGAAATTTATACCGATATCTTCATTCAGTAATTAAATATATCCGTTTAAGGGGTTATTGTAAGTGGGCCATTATATGGTAGCTATGACCAATTGCTGACCGATCCGGAAAACATTTGGTAGGGTCATATACATATGTATACACAAAACATATTTATGTCAATATCTTTATTTCTTAATTAGTTATGTGCTTATAAGTGGTTTTCGGAAGTGGACCTTATATGGGAGCTGTGACCAAATATGCACCGACCCGGAACAAATTACGCAGGGTGTTTTATATGTACTTTAACCGATCCGAAAAATATTTTTCAGAGGGATGTTATTCCAATATCTATATTTTTTAATTAATTGTGTGCATTTAAGTGATTTTCGGAAGGGGACCTTATATGGGAGCTTTGTCCTATTATGGACCAATCCGAAAAATATTTTGCAGAGAGACATAAAGTGTATTCATATTGGTAAATTTTCTAATAAAATGGCCATATAATTGTTTCTATCTAAAATATTTTCAAGAAAATTCACATGTTTATTCTATATTTAGTAGACTACGTTATAGTGTAATGAATTAATAAAAAAATATTGGTCTCTGGTCTATTCGAACACTTTTGTACATGTTAGTTTTTGGCACATTTCAAGTGTAAATTTATTATGTACCGTTATTTTTCTTCGAATTTTTCATTGATATAGATTTTATTGATATTTAGAATAAATTTTAGTACGATTTTCATACGATTTCAGAACATAAATTTTAAATAAATAGAGTGTTAGTTATTTTGTACTGAAATAAATTTGTGTGGAAATGCGACATTGAATCGAAATTCTGCGGGAAAGGGACAATAATGCAGACAAAATGCTAATTTATTAAATTTCGCTTCTAGTACTGCTCACAATTTCTTAGGTTTTTCATCCGAATTTGAAGCACTTCGGGTTACTAATTGTGACGAAAATACATCTTTTTCCACACTTTTTTTTGCTGAGTACTTGAAGTACTTCCAATTTTGATGAAAACCCTATGAATTTTACATTAGCGTGTCATTGGAGGGATGATGTTCAATTTTAACAACTTTGAACTACATCTCACTTTTAACTTGGTTTTCATTTAATTTTCACAACTTTGAACTACATCTCACTTTTAACTTGGTTTTCATTTGTAAGGAAATATTTGATTTATAAAAGTGAAACATATGTAATCGCATTTTTGGATGTGAATAAGATGTCGTTTGTAAAGTATGACATCAATTATTTTTTGCTGGGAACCTATATTTTTGTGTACTGAATTTGAAAGTTATAAAAATAATCAGCAGGAATATGAACATGGGTGTCGTATTTTATGATTTTAACACAGAAATACTGTTTTTTCTGTTTGTGTAAAAAAAAAAACTTAAATAAGCACTTACATAACAGATTACATGTCAGCATCTATTTAATCACTATTTCATATGAAGTATTAATTATTTAAAAGTAATATTAGATGGTATAAAATAGTGATTAAAAAGAAAGTTTTCGAGTGAGAATTATTCATTACCAAGTGTTTGATAGGTATCTTTCGGAAATTTTAGAGTTGAGTTTTTGTTTTAGAGCATTTTGCATAAAAAAATACCGAACTATTATTTGATAATAAATATTTAATTTGTAACCTTTTTTACCATTTGTGAATAGTGTGTATGTATGTAGGTCAACTTAAAACTTCTTTTAACATAAAATTTTATAGAGTAATTCCAAAAATAGGACATATGTAAAGAAATAGTTGCCTAAATAAACGACAACTAAGAATTTGAACAAACTAATAATAAATAGCGTATATAAACTATTAAAATAAATTCATAAAACATAAAGAAAACTACTTACCGCCTTCTGCTACGACCATGACGATGACAATCACGTGCATAGTGTCCCCGGTCTCCACAGTCATAACACTTGCTATCACCACCGCCTCCACCAGCACCGCCACCACCTCCTCCATTTCTACCGCCACCAATACCTCTGCCGCCACTGCCACCGTAACGGTCACCACCACCTCTACGGTCACCTCCACCACCACTACGGCCGCCACCAGTTTTTGTGCTCTTGCCGGTAGACAATTCTACACGAGCTCTGCGGCCACATATAGTACGACCATCTAAACCCTTTACGGCATCGGCCGCATCACGTGCATCTTCAAATTCTACAAATGCAAATCCTGGTGGAGAGCGTGCAATCCAAACACTACGCAATGGACCGTACGCACCAAATGCATATTCCAATTCATTCTTTCGAGCACTATTTCCCAGATCGCCAATATAAACTTTACGATCACTGGGATAACGAGACATTTTCTTCGACTAAAATGAGAACAAAAAATGAGACAAATATGCAAGCCAATTTTGAATGCATAGTTTTCATTTTGGAAGTAAAACAAAACGAGTAAACACAAAATTTTTATCTATTCTTTTGTCTGCAGCCAATACCCCCTGTATAAAATTTACAAGGGTTAAAAAGAAAATGATAAAAAATCGATTCCTTTTTTAATGCATTAAATTCTTTGAAAGTTTTTCACTTACCATTTTCAAAAAATTATATTTTTATAGAGTTTTAATGTAATAGTTATTTTATGTTTATTTTATTATCTAAATTAATAAATTCTTAAAACATGCTCACAAATGAAAAAATCGGAAAATGAAAATCTTGTTCTGTTCTGCTTTTTTCTTTTCTTCTTCTGCTGCAACAACGCGCAAAAAACCGAATGCGAATAAAATAGCAGAAACAATAATGATAATTTAGATAATTTAAACATTCTTCTCTTCTACTTTTTCTTTCTTTCTTCTGGCAACACTAAAGAAATCGCTATAAAAATGGCATGCAAGGCGACTTCACATAAGCGGTATTACACACATTTATAGTTAAAAATTTCAGTTAAAACAGAGAAAAACTTGCATTTTATTTAAATAAATAATAAATATTTAAATAAATAATAAATATTTAAATATATATAAGACAAATATTTTTTCTATTAAATGTTAACTAATTAAACAATATTGTTTTATATTTTATATTTACATTGTGTAGACAATCTCTATAAAGCGAAACCCATATGATGTATTTACGTTATGGCCAAATTTTGAAAATTAATACGCCGAAGTAGATCTTTGCAACAAAGATTTTTTCATTCGGAATTTAATTTGTTCATAAATTTTTACATTTCTATGTATATTTTCCACAAAAAAATTAATTAATCTGCCGAAAAAATGTTTTTCATTTCAAACAAACTTTATTCCATTCAGGATATTTTCTTAAATTTTTTATAAAATATAAAAATTTCACAAACTTTATTAATGAAATCGTCGTACTCAGAGTTTTTGACATCAGTGCGTACCAAATACTCCACCTTATATGAATTCGCCTTGATTTAAACTGTGATATTTTAAATTATCTGTAATTTGGCAAAATTTCCAAAAAAAAAAAAACAGCATATTTTCATTACGTTGGAAAGCTGCAAAACATAGTATTGCCACATTCAAGAAATCTTTAGTAAAAACCCCTATAAGAAATGAATGACCGAAACTAACACATACAAAATGATTTTACTAACACACACGCAACATTTTTTTTATAGAATTGTCGAAAAAAAAATTTAATGGATGATTCCATCAACAATGACAGTCAAATGACCGGTAAAATGACCGTTACTTGACCCAATGTGTGGTATAGGGTTGAATTTGCATATGAAAGAATGAAACAACTACATTTTGATTAAAATGTATTAAAATTTATATTTTGATCAACAATGACAGCCAAATGACCGATCAAATGACTGTCACTGTGTTACAGAGTTGTATTTTTCGTCGTTACAAATTAATTGTTTCTGCGAAAGCCAAAGATCAAGAAGCGAAAAAATAAAAAAATTACAAAGTCTTTAAATTATTAAAAATAAAGAGAATTATTATAAACTAAATTTGAAAAAAGTTCAGGAAGTGGATCAGAAGATAAACAATTCGGAGTTTAATCAATCAATGGTAACATAAATATGTACTTATGATTTTTGTATTTCGATATTTATGAATACTTATGTATTTCTTTACAGACAACTTATTTCCACAAATTAATAGGAGCATCAGAGGACTTAAGATTCTGCGAGATATGTAAAATGGTGAAAAGACTGGTAATTTATGTATATGATTACTATATTAATAAAATTAACAATATATAAATATATATATATATATATTAAAATATCAATAAATTGTGTTTTATTATAAATTGGTATAGCCGTCAGATTTGACGGATATATTCATCAAGTGTGATTAGTCAACAATGACCGATTAATGCATCATTTTTTTATTTGTTAACTGTGATGGATATATCCATCAAGCATGATTAGTCAATCATGACTAATATTTATATCATCCATGATTAGTAAACAACAAAAGAGTGAGCAGCTCAAATATATGTTTTAAAGTCGATAGAATTCATAAGTGCGAGGGTGATGCAACATCACATGTACACAAATGTTTCCATCACTTTTTACATATTGCCCTTAAGAAAGTGATGGGAGCTTTGTTCTACGCAATGATGGGTATATTCTCAGTAGTGACAGTCAATTGACCGGTCAAATGACTGTCACTGTTCTTATAGGGACATTTATTTATTAAAGTGTACTAAAAGTGAGACTTGCGCCGATTCGGCTTAAGCCGACTAAGCCTAGCCGCCGAACAAAATGTCAAAGCCGCCGCCGCCGAAAATTTTTCAGCTTAATACGGCTTGAAAGTTTCGCCAATATTTTGTACAATTTACAGAATACTTTCGCTAAATTTGTGGAATTTTATAATATAAAATTAATTTGTTTTCATTTAAGCAAGTTTTCTTTTATCTAATAATAAGCCGCTCATTGAAATTTGGCCGGTGTAGAACTTTGCTCAACGTTCGATGTACATGCTTCGCCTCAGATATTTTCGCGCCTAATTCGAGTCGCTGCTTTGACTTCAAACCAGCTTCGTTGACGTCAACGGAGCTACACCTTTTTACATTGCTGGTATGTCATACCGTAATGGGCTAGGGTATCAAACATGTGTATTTTAAATGGGAAGTGCAGTTGATGTCAATTCTGCCGACTGCGAAAAGAAATTCTGCTAGAATTTTTCGCGCCAAACTGTTTTCTGCATTTTTTATTTGAAAAAAATCTGTTGTTGTGTGTGTGCGAAAATCTAAAATAACAGAAATGATAAAAAAATAATTTTTTACTAAAAATTGAAATTAATAAGATTGTATGCTATACTACTATACCGAGGGTCATTGTACAAAGAAACAGCAAGTGTTTGAATTTAGATAAATTGTTAATAATTATGATGAAATTTTTATACCCTACACCACTTTAGTGGGGAGGGTATATTGGATTTGTGCTGATGTTTGTAACGCACAATAATATTGGTCCTATACCCACCTTAAAGTATACCAATCGGCTTAGAATCATTTTCTGAGTCGATTTAGCTATGTCCGTCCGTCTGTCCGTCCATGTAAACCTTGTAATCAAACTACAGGTCGCAATTTTGAAGATAATTCAATGAAATTTGGCACATGATCTTCTATTGTCCCAGGGACGAAGCCTATTGAAAATGGTTAATATCGGTCCATTATTTCACCTAGCCCCCATACAACTGAACCCCCGAATAGGGCTTGTAAACCTTGTAATCAAACTACAGGTCGCAATTTTGAAGATAATTCAATGAAATTTGGCACACGATCTTCTATTGTCCCAGGGACGAAGTCTATTGAAAATGGTTAACATCGGTTCATTATTTCACCTAGCACCCATACAACTGAACCCCCGAATAGGGCTTATAAACCTTGTTTATGTTTAATATACTCGTATCTCGACAAAAAGCTGCAAAACCAAGTTCTATACTAGCCTTGATGACTCTCGTGAATTTTATAATTATAGGGTCTCATTTGACCATAGCTCCTATACAAATCCCCCTTCAAAATTTGACTTAAATGTCCACAATTTTATTCAGCAATAAATGGCTTAAGTATAATTCAAGGCAAGGAGAAATTCAACTTAAATGCTCTATTATGAAAACTAAATCACATTTTATTTTTGTAACAGGTGTAGGGTATTATATGGTCGGCCTCGCCCGACTATAATTTCTTACTTGTTTTAAGGCGGGGTTTGTTTTCGTTTAATACCCAAAAGTGTTTATCGAAATCTATATTTGGCATATTTGTGAGATCTAGAAGATTAAAAAATGTAAGTAATGGTGTTAATTAATTATTTATTTGTCTATAAAGAACGTCTTTCTTTTCAAGAAAGAGGAAGCATCATGATGGTCTCCTGGAAGAATGCCCACATATATACCTCCCTAGTCACCTAGGCGGGTGGTGGTCGGTCGGCTAGTGGTGGTCGGTCGGCTAGTGGTGACATGGTATATTATCACCTAGAGGCAATGGACGGAAGCTGATTGCCGTATTCAGGGGGTATCCTTGGGATACATACTTATTATTATACCATTAATCTCAGCAGAATCACTACCATACACCCATAATAGAGCGCGATGTCTGTCTGGTGTGCCTTTCAGTGAAGCTCTTGTTGTCTCCAAACACTATGGTGGCCGAATATTTACAAGAAACAATTGTTAAGCCGCCTTTTATAAAAATTTATAGCTTTGTAGAGAATGTCTTCACGGACCTAAAGGATATAACCTGGCTAGGTATGTAGATGTTGTTTGGCCAAATATTGGTACTAACCATTGTGGGCTTTATGTCGACTTTAGGTCCCTTATAGTTGTCACACTATACCAAATAAGCATTCTTGCTAGAATTAAAGTTTAAAACAAGTTTAATTCCAGTCAAACATTCAAATTTCAAGTGTTGAAATACACCTTAATTCAATAGCATTCTCCTGTGAAAACGAAACTTGAATTCAAGTCGAACATTACAATGTTTTTACAGTATAATTCAATGCACGAAATCTATATACATAATACATACATATATAAAATTCTAACGTTACTGACTGACTGACTGATTCATCATCGTAGAGCCTAAACGGTTTTAGTTAAAGAGCTGAAATTTAGACAAGAGGTTGGTCTTCCACCAAATAGATCCACTTAGACGGGATTTTTGGAAATTCGAATGATTAGGGGGTTAAAAATGGTAAAAACGGGTAAATTCGGTAACCTCATATCTCCTAAACTATAAAAGATACAAAAACAGTTTAAAGCTTATCGTCGTTCATTTAAAAAATAAGCGGACAGTTGTCTGGTACTTTTTTTCAAATTCGGCCCCTTTGGGGAATAAACGGGTAGAAACTGTAATTTGGTACTTCTTTTGCACCCCATGTATCTTTTAAACCAGAGAACATTCAAAAAATATTTTTGAATCCTTCATAACTTGACGAACAAATAAAAATATAAATTTAGTACTTTTTGGATATTCGAACGTTTAAGGGGTGAAAATTGTACCTATTTTTGGTACTTTTTTATAAAACATTGTTTTTGGTTTATTAACTTATACATATGAATACATAATAACGGGCTCCCAATACGATGTTGCAACTGGTACTTTTTTGACTTAGAACTTAGAAACATGTAATTAAGCACTTGAGAATCTATAAAAGTGGACTTTTTGGTACTTTTTCGTTCTTCAAAAGGTATTTTTTGAGTTTTCTGTTTTTCGTTCTTCGACTGGTACTTTTTGAATTTTTTATAATATTGAACCTAGAACCATGAATTTAGGAATGTACAGCCCGGATTAAGTAAT